ACCCCACATGCACATATAACTAACACTCTAATAATTTTTATATATAGTGCGATTAATTATATTTGCATATCAATAATGATGGATATTACTTTTATATTAAGATTTTTTCACAAAATTTTTATACATAAAAATATAATTTTTTGTGGTCACTTCATTTTCAATAAAACAATCACTATTATTTTTATAAATTTAAAAATATCCTTGACATTTTATTTTAAATATTATTTTTATTTAAAATTTTATTTATATACATATATAAAAAAAATAAAAAATCTAGGAGGCACGTTACCCCTCGTCCCCATGTGGCTCCACTGCTTTGGAATGACACCATTGGAACCCATAAGGTTTGGATGTCTGATATTATAATGCATGAGAATGACTGAAGATGTGAGGTGTTTTTTGGGTGAATAAAGATGTGAGGTGTTGTGCTTAAAAGAAATTGGGCAAATTATAAATACCCTCTTCGAGATTTGGTAAAAATATAAATTTTTTTCTGAGGTTTGAGAAATTACATCCCGTCCTCCGAAGTTTATATTTTCATAATAAATTGCCCCCTGAAGTTTTTATTTTCATACGGGTTCTCCCTTAATTTCTCCTAATTTGTTATGAAAATTTGACCATCAGGAGACAATCTGTAATTTCTTAAATCTCGAAAAAAAAATTTGTATTTTTACCAAACCTTGAAGGGGTGTTTGTAATTTGCCCTCAGAAATATCATGTCCTTCCGTGGGGATCTAGCTTAACCTTATCCATTTTTAAATATCAGATATATGTGTGTGTGGTTTTCTTATTCCAAGAAGTAGTCAAATTGGTGGATGAAATCGACCTGGTTGGTTGAATTGGACAGCCCTTAATTCATTCTCATTTATTTGCATTGAATTGAATGTACTATCCTGCAAAGTTGTTTCCTAGGGTTGGTTTGGAATCATTTTATTTTACTCAAATAATCAAAAAAAATTATTAAAAAAAGTTTAAAAAGTATTAATATGAAAAAATTAAAGATTCATTTCTTTCTCTCTATTTTTTTGCATTTTTTTCTATAAAATATAAATAATAAAAATCTTTTCAAACATATTAATTTTTCTTACCTCATATTTTAATCAAAAAAATACTAAAAAACTTAATTCCCAAACCGACCTTTAAGTTATTTAAGTTATTTGGGAATCAAATTGGATTAGACCACCAATTAAAAAACTGAAGAGGTAACTATACTGTGTTTATATATTTTGATAATATTAAATTAAGTGGGTGCATAATAAGTGGGTGTATAATGATGAGTTATGGAAGTTATTGAAAAATTAATATTCGAGAATATGCAGGATGAAAAAATTATAATTATCTATTTATGGGAAAATTATAGAATGTTTTCGAAGTTTTACATGTCTGTACTCCTTAACTAATTATTATTTAATATGTCTTTTCATATTTCTCAATCACCGAACACAATATCTTACGTACCCACATTCTCCATCAATCACAATATTATAAAATGCTACGTATCTATACTCCGAAATTACTAAATAATTTACCCCATGTTATTAGGCCTGAATATAACATTCTAAGTTTAAGTCTAAAAGTGGAGTAGGTAGTGAAGCAAATTACGGTAATGTCTAGTTTAATTTTTAAATTAATTTTTAGATTGAAAAATCATAAAAATATGTTTGATTTACTATTTTTGAAAATTTTCTTTTCTTTTATTTATTTATTTTTTTACGCATCAATCAATCAATCACTTTTTTTCTCGCCTCTCTTATTCTCTCACATTTTATACATCCATCAATTAGTTTTTGACACACAACCATCTATTCAACTACTAAAAAAAAAAAACTTACAAATCATTTTAAAATTATTTTTTAAAATTCAAAATCAAATAAATTTTTAATTTTTAAAACTCTTTTCAAACATTTATCTATCAAAACATAATTTAAAATTAAAAACTCTTTTTTAAAAACTAAATCAAACGGAATAGTTTTAAAAAAAAACACACACAATATTTAATATTATTTTATTTATAATAATCGTGGGACAGTTCTTATTATTTGGTTGTGTGCGCATGATTATTATGTGATGCCGGAATTCGTGGATATTAAGGTAAATATCATTCTAATACGGCAAGCCAAACGAATTGAGGCATCTGATAGTGACTTGAGATTTTAGAGATTTTGAATAAATATTAAAATTAAATTTTATGTTATCGAACATTTGAAAATTGGAGATTTTTTTTAAGGTACTTAGTATTAAGACTTTATAACATAAAGACCCTGTTTGGTAAAACTGTGGGAAAATGATTATAGTTTATAACTTAACAGCTTATACCTTATAACTGTGAACATAAACTGATTTTTGACTTATAGATTAAGCTTCTCCTCCTCCACTCAAAGAATAAGTTGATTTTTGACTTACAAAAATGTATAAGCTGTATTGTTAAGCTGAATCAAACACATCAAAATAGTCTAAATTAAGTTAAAAGCTGAAATAAACTGAAAATAAACCCTACCAAACAGGGCCAAAGGACATCTAATATTTTCATAATGTCTAAAGTCCCTCAAGTCAAACTAGAGAAAATTCAATCCAGAGAAAATTCAATCCAGTAAAATTCAATCCAGTGAACTGATAGTGACTTGAGATTTTAGAGATTTTGAATAAATATTAAAATTAAATTTTATGTTATCGAACATTTGAAAATTGGAGATTTTTTTTAAGGTACTTAGTATTAAGACTTTATAACATAAAGACCCTGTTTGGTAAAACTGTGGGAAAATGATTATAGTTTATAACTTAACAGCTTATACCTTATAACTGTGAACATAAACTGATTTTTGACTTATAGATTAAGCTTCTCCTCCTCCACTCAAAGAATAAGTTGATTTTTGATTTACAAAAAGGTATAAGTTATATTGTTAAGCTGAATCAAACACATCAAAATAGTCTAAATTAAGTTAAAAGCTGAAATAAACTGAAAATAAGCCCTACCAAACAGGGCCAAAGGACATCTAATATTTTCATAATGTCTAAAGTCCCTCAAGTCAAACTAGAGAAAATTCAATCCAGGGAAAATTCAATCCAGTGAAATTCTTTGGTCCAAACCTAAAGAAAATTTAATTTAATCCAGAGAAATTCTCTGGTCCAAACCAGAGAAAATTCAATATTTTTCTATATTACTGTGCCCACCCAAGCTTCGGCCTAAACTGCAGAGGCGAGAGAGAGAGAGAGGGGTTATGTAACAATTTTTGTGGTTGAGTATGAAAAAGAAGACAAGAGGCGGCTGAGATATATATATATATATATATATGTATGTATGTGGCATCTATCTCACGTTAACTTAGATCCTTCAACGAAGTTATGGATCTAGATCTTAGCAGAGGCGCAAAGCTTCAGTGATGGAGTCTTCTTGGAGGATAAGAGGTACGAAGCTTCACTACGCAAAGGTAGAAAAAAGTGATCAAAACAGGAGAGATGAAAATATATATATATATATATATCTCCAAACACAAGTTTATCTTGACAGCGGTGTTGAGTTGCAGTGGAATGCTAATAATAGTATCTGTGACCAATGCATCGGATCAGGAGGAAAGTGTGAGAGACTTTACACATTATTAAATGACATTATGGACCTCTTCCATTACTGAAAATGGAAGAGAGATCTTAGATTAATTTTCTCTTAAAAATTAGGACCTCCTATATATATATATATATATTTAATTTAATTTATTTATTTTTAATTATCAATGGACTTAAATGGCTCAGAGGCTAGAGCACTTTCACTGCTTTAGCCAATTGAACTGATTTTATCAAGATAAAAAGATAAGAAAGAGAAAGGGGAACAAGTAATGGACTGTAATGCGGGGACCAATTTTATAATTATATTTTTTAATACATTTTATTTTTATATATACATATTTAAGTAAGTCTCAGTATTTCCTAGCACATTTTACTATCACTAAAATAAGTAAATTTTTAACACATAAGATTCAACCTTAACTTTATTCCACATGTATACTATAGATGCATAACGCATTGAACAGATTTTTGGTTCACATTATTGTCATCGCATGATAAAATTGGGCTGAATCCCTATCCATTTTTATGATGGCACTACATGACGTGTCATTGTAGTCGTGCTAAATCATGAGGGACAACTACTATACATTAAGGCAGATTTTTCATTCTTAGGTTGGAGGTGGGTCTGGTCTTCTCAAATTGTAATTGTTTTTTGCAATTTTTTGTAGAGCTTGTTGGGCATAAAAAAGCCAAATTTTTAGTTAAAATAGGTACAAAGAGTTAAAATAGGTTTTTTAATTCAATAAGACAAAATATCACATCCAATCCATAATCATTTCATTTTTTCTCTCACAAAAATTAAAAAGTCAAAAGACCTACCTTAAACAAGGTTTTTTAACCCTAGGCTAATAACGTCAAAAAGTTAAAAACTCAACCTACATCACAAACGAAGCCATAATTTGTATTAGATTTTTTTCTTTTGTTACTCTTATAATATATTCTTTTCTTTTAATATATTGCATATTTTTGTGATTTTATAAAAAAAATAAAAATAAATAAACTATTATACATTTAAAAATTTATGTAAAAATTTAAATAAATAAATCAAATAACATTTGCTATTACAAAAATAATAAATAAATATAATTTTGAAAGTTATTATTTATTATTTTGAAGACAAAGATAATTTAATTACGCATCTATAATTGTCTACTTAATTTAATTTAATTTTATAAGTAATTTGTTTTATCAATCATATAATGTGAACTGCTTTAGATAATTAAAAATAACAATGCTAACTCACAGTTTGCACCCACAAATGCATCCACAATGACATGGTAAGAATGGTGAAACTCATGCCATTGTGTGTTTAACCAATTAAAAATTGACACTTATCATATTACATCATTATATATTGAATTGTGAAATATTTATAAAAATCTCAAATATTTTTCAACTAAAAAAAAAAAAGAAGAAGATTTCCTAATGAACTTACAAAGAGTTGACAATACCTTCAATTGACTGTTGGAGCCAACTTGTCATATTTTAAATTCTCAAAATATTATTACAAAACAACTATCCAAACGAATGAGTCATATGCTCAATTCCTCGCTCCCCTATATAAAGAGAACCAAACTTTAGACATTCACAACCACACATATCAATAAGTTTTCACAACAAAAACCCAAATCAAAGCATTCTCAAAGCATGGTTGAAGCAACTATGGTGGTGGCTCAAGAAGCTTCAATCCATGGAGACATGTTAGAGACAATCCTATCGTACGTGCCACTCATCGACCTCGTACCGGCTTCACACGTGTGCAAGTCATGGAAGCGTGCGGTGTTTTCTTCTCTCCGCCACCTCAACAAGCCCAAACCATGGCTCATCGCTCACACGCACACCACTTCGCACGCGTTCGACCCCAGGTCGCACGTGTGGATCGAAATCAAACAACAACAGCCGCCGATCAAACAACAACAGCAAATCTCCACCCTCCGATCGTCTCACTCCAACCTCCTCTACATGCTCTCCCCATCGAAGCTCTCCTTCTCGTTCGACCCGCTCCATCTGACGTGGCACCACACCGACGCGCCGCTGGTCTGGCGGGTCGACCCGATCGTCGCCGCCGTGGGCCGCCACATCATCATCGCCGGTGGTACCTGCTATTTCGAGGACGATCCACTCGCCGTCGAAATCTACGACGTCGAGACTCGCGCGTGGGAATTGTGCGATCCTATGCCGGCGATTCTCAAAGACTCCTCGGCTTCGACGTGGCTATCGATCGCGAGCGACGATTTGAAGCTGTTCGTGACGGAGAAACACTCCGGTGTGACGCACACGTTTGATCCGGAGACGAAGACTTGGTCTGGACAGTACGATCTCCGTCCCGATCCGTGTATTTTCTACTCTGTGATTGCGTTTTCCGATGACCGTTTGATCTTAGCGGGACTCATCGGAGAAATAGATAATGTCAGAGGAGTGAAACTTTGGGGAGTGAATTGTGAGAGCTTTGAGTGTGAAGAGATTGGAGAGATGCCATTGGAGTTTCTCGAGAAACTGAAGGGAGAGAGTTTTCAACTTTCTTCGATCGCTGTTTGTTTCGCGGGAAAAGTTGTAAATATCTACAATCCTTTGATGGCGGAGGAAGTGTTCATGTGCGAGTTCGTTGACGGCGGTTGCCAGTGGTGGAGCGTGCGAAATGCGGCTGCGAATCGCTGGAATCGGATGGAGACGGTGGTGTTTACGAGCTCCAAGGTTGGGATTGAAGACTTGCACAGGGCGGTGTGGTCAGAGAATCGGAGGTTTGCGGTGGTGAGTCCCGAGTGACCTGACTTGGGTCAATCGGGGTTTCGTATATGCCCCAATGGATTTCTATAGGTGATAAAAATTTATTGTAATAATATTCGATTAAATTTGTAATTAATGGTGTAAAAATACTAGAAAGATTGTTGTCATTTTGAGCGATACTTCTTTTTAGAAGTACCAAGTGTGTTTATGAATTGTGATCAATCTACAATTTTATTGATGAGCATTTCAAATGTTGGATCAAGAACAGTTGAAAATGGCTGTTCTAAATTTTATTTTATTATTTTAACTGGTGTTTGTTAATTTAATTCAATATTTAATAAATATATTAAGAGAAAATTAACTAAGGCAATTTGATAAATTTTGTAGTCTATTTAGATGTTAATTTTAGCCCTGTTTGAGATGGTCATTTGGATTAAAATAATTATATAGGACAAAATGTTATTTTAGTCAAATATAAGAAAATGTCACATTTAACTCATAATCATTTTATTTTTATTTTTTTACAAAAGTTAATAAAATTATTCCAAATGAAACTTTTTAATCTCAGACTAAAATAGTCAAAAAATTAAAAAAATCAATCCACATCCCAAAAGAACGTAAGAGTCCCAAAAGAACGTAAGAGTCCCAAAAGAACGTAAGAGTCCCATTGGGAGGGAAAAAATTGTATGACTAAATCATTGTGCTGTAAAAATAAGGAAAATTTACCCATAAGTCCTAGTTTCTGAAAAGTTGAACCATTTAGTCCTAAAAGTTTTCTTATGCTCCATTTAGTCCCATTTGCACATCAATCTAATGTTCGAAACATTAATCTGATGTTTGGAATCTAATGTTCGAAACATTAATCTGATGTTCGAAATCTAATGTTCGAAACATTAATCTGATGTTTGAAACATTGTAATAGGACCTTTCAGTCCATAAGAAAACTTTTAGGACTAAACAGTGTATAAGTTATTAATTTGGGATTTATTGGTGTATCTCCCAAAAATAATTAATACAGTATTTATTTGAAGCTTTTAAGGCAAAGATTACGGTAAATAAATTATAATTATTTAAAAAGTTAAGAGATGAATGTTTTAACTTGTGTATTCTTATTATTAATCATCAAATTAAAAAGAAAAAAAAAATTACACTAAACAAGCTAATTCCCATTCTCTTCAAATTGAAACGTTTGAGTATATATATTTTACAAGACATCATCAGCCTAACTAAAACTTCTACTTTATTTTATTTGAAGACCAAAAGTGATCCACGAGCAGAAGTAATGGTATAGTCAAAATTCACTTGGATCACTTGGCTCATCAATTTATGCTCAAAATTTGAAATTCCCTTCTCCTAATCCAAAAGAAAAACAAAAACAAAAAACGAAAATGAGTCGGACCCCAGTGGGGGTGCTGGGAGTCTCCTCCCATTGGTTAAAAATTGTTTTTCTTTTTTTTTTTTCATTGCCAACCCCCTACGTGGAGGTGGGGGTGCCTTCATACTGGGGGTCGGAATCACGGCTCAACAAAAAAACTGTTCAACAACGTAAAAATTATTAATAAAGTGGTCCTTTGGCAAGACCACGAATACAACAATATGTAGGACAATTTTCATTATATTTAAATAGATTAAATTCTGTTGTGTATTAAACAATAACAAGAATATAAAGAAATAAAGAAAATGAGAGAATTTATTTGATTACAAAAATCAAATTAGAAATAAATAAAAAAAATAAATAAAAACAGATTTTATTTTGTTACAAAAATAAAATTAAAATCTGATTTAATAAACAAATAAAACAGAATAATAAATTAAACAACTTACTTGATTAATTTCTTCTAATAAATATTTGATCAAGTCTAGTGTTTGACACTGTGTCCTTAAGACAGATTCGTCCTCTCCATGGTGTTTTCAGAATGTGGACGTCTATCTCCCAGGATGAAATGATCAACTACAAACAATAGCAGCACTACAAATTGTTTGCCTAACGAACACACTAAGTGTTTATCCTCTTTCTCACAAAAAATTAAATGCAGCAAAATGAAGAATAAATTTGCAGAGGTGAAGTACGAATTTTCTGAATATGTTAAATATCAAATGAGGGCTGTCATATATATAGATGTAGTGGTGGCTGTAGGTTTTGAATTAAACAGGTGCAAAACAGATTTGAATCTGTTGGGTTCAAAATTCAAACAGATAAAAAACAGGAAGGGCCCTGTTTGGGTGTACAGTAAAACGAGACCAGTTTATTTCCGGAATTAATTTGAATTCTGAATTTTATTTCAATTCAAATGTTTTTGACCTAAAAAGAAAAGTATTGGGCTGGACAAGCCCAATCTCACACTACGCACAGCTCGCTCGACTGGACGGCAGCAGTGCGCGCGTGGTGATTTTTGGATCCAATGAGTCTAGTCCATTTTGCCAATAACCTCCATCTCTAAAACACTTGGGTACCCCTTGGGGCACATCCCAAGTTCCAATCCCATGCCTTATAAACCCATTCAAAACCTCCCACCAAATCAATGTGAGATAAGCCTTATTCAAACATTTAAGGATTTTTCACCAAAACTCCATTTCCATGGAGCATACTTTGGCTTCAATTTCCATTCACTCGGTAATGATTTTGAGCAACCAAATATACCACGTGAATCACAACGCGGCATAGAATACGTTACCACTTTGACCCGCCAACTTTGACGCTCGGGTCTCACCTAAATAATATATCAAAATTAGGAAAAAAATATGATTTTATCCAAATTTTCCAATCATTTCCAACACAATATACCTCAATCTTTTGAGAATAACTGAGTAGTCTATATGCACAACGACCCACTCCACAAAATAGTACAAGGCAAAGAAACAATGTTGTTTTTCGAAAAAACCACTACCACAAAATACACAATATTTCTTATTTTCTACCTTTTCAATCATAAACGCATCTTGCACAAAATTGTGGACCAACAAACAAATTGGACCCTTGTTGTCTTGAATTAAAACTCTATGGGTTAGCCAATTGAAAGGATTACTGTCTGTCCTCTCTCTTTTCGTTTTCTTTACCACCACAGTTGCCATCCCATTCAAAGTTAGAATTGAAAACAAATCCACCTTCAAATTTTTCTTGTGAGGTTAATTAAAAAATAACATTAAAAATTTGTGTGTACAGATGATTTTATAAAAATGTGAACATCTTGACAAATAATTTTTGCATAGTTCATTTGCAAAATAAATTTCTAACTACTAAAGAGTAATCAACTTTCTTCACAAAGCAATCCTCAACGACCATGCCTGAAATCTGATTCTTCCTGTAGTAAGGATTTGTAAAGCTTCAAATAATTTTTCTACAGATGCACTATTGTAAGAGAAAAATGAACTACAACATATATCTTCAGGAAAGCAAGGAAATAGTTTTCCAGAAAATGGTTTTCATATATATAAAATACTTTTTCATGTTTGGTTTTCATAGAATACTCAACATTATTATTGTGAAGGGATTCATCACACAATACATGTTCAAAAAATTCAAAAAATGTTCACAAAGTGTCAATAAAATGTCTGATATAATATGAATTTGATTTTTTTAATTTGAGACATGTTGAAGAAGTGTCGGATACGCACACACTTCCTTCATGGAAATGTCCACAATTTTAAATTTCTAACATGAGATAGAATTTAATTTTTGAAGGACTATTATTACATGGCACTTCAAATTTTAGACGGCAACCCTTGTACAAAGAGAGCTTTTCAAAATTCCAGGGACCAAATTTTGAGAAGCCAAGAACAAAATCCCTAATTCTTCTAGCAATATTTAATTTCAAAGATACATATGTAGTGCACCATGGTAGTAAAATTAATAACAACAAGAACAATAATAATAATAATGAGGATTAGCAGAAAAAGATTTATTTAAATACCTGACAGAGTTCAACATGATGCTTATATATCTCTCTGTTCTCATCTTGATGACCAAGCAACGAACCACCATACCAACTATCGGCTTCATCTATTGAGGTCAGTGCGAGATATCTGACGTACAATTTAAGCGTGTTATATAAACACAAGTCTAAAGACACACCTTTATTTCAAGGCATGTTGCAAAATAAAATTCAAGTATAGCAACGTATAATATTTTGCCCTGCATCTATAGGTAATAATAGAAAAGGTGAAAAAACAAACAAAAATTTTTTGTGCGTGTAACCTATTTATGTCTCAAAACCACCCCCAAAAAAAAAAAAAAAAAAAAAATGGCAACATATTGATCAATATATTGGATATTTTCAAGAAAGTGATATCAAGTACATCTGTATTTAAACTTAGAACACATCACCAATATATAATACTCAGATATACAACACAAATTTCAAAAAAAAATATGACATCATATCAATTGTTGTTGGGATAGCACGTCATATTATCACAATAAATTGCCAAGTTACACATATGTAAGAAAAATGCTAGGAATCAACCCTTATGGATCTCGAATGTATTTTTGTGGTGGAGATTGAATTGATAAAGTGTGGAGTCTATATATGAAATGAATTTGAGCTATTGATTTATTTTTTTGGGTAAATTCTAAATTGATAAAGGTAAATTTGTAGTATTGTTACACATGTAATGGTTCAAATATCAAAGAGAAAAAGTTACATGTCCTATAAGTGAGCAATTCTTTCAACCATACAAATACATATATTTTTAATATACATTAACATGTATACAAGGCTATTATTTCCACATGCCAAAATATTCCATCCACAGGCCAGACGGAGCTATGGATGCAACGTCCTTAGCCATGGATCTTGTTTTATGGACTCTTCTATTTCCCTCATTCAGAAAATAAAAATGATACCAAATAACATTTTTGCTCAAGTGCTGTACTAATCTCCTTCCTTTCTACAACGACATTCTTTCTACTATCTACTATATTGAAAAAGACTATTTTTCACAATCAATCCATCAACCCATATGCATAAAAAAACAAACTAAAGTGAACATTTAGTCTTTGCTATCCATCAAGAAAAATCATAATTTTTGAATGACAATACGTGACTGAGGTATCACCGAAGTGCCAGCTGGGGTGCCACGTGTCTTGGTCATGACGCCGAGGTAATCTCGGTTAGGCCGAGGTTATCTGTGAGAATACTAGAATCAGGGATAAGCGGATAAGGGACAAGAGTCCTAGAATGAGAGAGGAACTTCAGTTTGGGTACGAATAAGACTTTTAGAGAGTTTATCTCAATCCTACTGGGA